AATCTACAGTAGAGGAGAAACTATAATGACAAAGGAATAGGTTGTATCGGGGGAGATGACTGGTAGCATTATGTTTGTGAGCTAATGCAGGATGGACAATTGTGTTTGCTGTCCCCTGGGGAAAGGTGGTGGACATATTCGATTTTAAAAGAGGAGAAAAACAAAAAAACAAAAGCAAAAACTAGTCGGGTTGAGTGTGGAGCGTCTAGGGTGGAGGAGGGAGGAGGGGGAGGGCCAGAGAGCATTGCTCTTTTTTTTTGTCTTTTTTTTTTCTTTCTTTTTTTTACTGCACATTATTAAAGAGCTAAGCTGTTCTATCAGGCAAATGATTGGGATTTACCATGAGAGCCCAGATTATAAATGTTGATGTATTGCTTTTTTTTTTTGGCTTCTTTTTTTTTAAAAGGTCACTCAAAAAGTAGAGTTGCAGCATTTGGAGTTACATGGCAAGTGAGAAAGGGGATTTCTTTTTTTTTTCTCAGATTTTTAACATGGCATAAGAACAGTATAACGTACCATCATGTGACTGATCCCCTCAAAGTTATACTCTGTAGGATTTAAGTCAGCGTAGATTCATTAAACTATGTAATCAAAGCTGTGTTATTATACAGCATAAACTCAAACAGGACTTATACACGACGACAAGACTGTATCTCAGAGTATGACTTTTTCACTGCCCATATTTCATATAGAAAACATCATTAATTTGAACAATGAACATAGACATAAACATCAGACGCGCTCACACACACACGCGCGCACACTGAACATATACACGCAAAGACACACGCATATGTGCACACATACACACAAAACGACACGAGAAAATTACAAACGACACATAAAACACATGTAGAAATGCACTGATACGGACACATGACATACATTTACTGTCAAACCCTGCGCTGTCGTTGCAAAATCATGGACTACATGTGTGTATCAGTTACTCAAAGCACATGTTTCCTGCATTAACATGTTGACAGGTGTGTGAAGTGAAACAACTGTGCTGCGTCTGAAATAATGGCTAAACAGTCTGTTGCGACGTCAGTGCTCACTGATACAGAGAGCTCAGTTTGACGAAGCCGTGCCTCATCTTTAAGAACGCGTATAAAACTTGCTGGTAAAGAGATAACGTAACCCTCTAGCTGACCTGAAAATGTTGCATGAATCAACAACCTCCTCCTTTGGCTATTTCTTTTCTGCGAAGATGACACACGCCTGCTCCACTTCTCAAGGCTCGCTACTCCCACTTTCCCACTCTCTCTCCCTTTTGATTTTTTCTTCTATTTCTTCACCCCGGGCTTCAGAAGGCACAGGTGTATGGATAATCCTGGAGTCCCCGCTGAGGAATCCAGACTCCTCTAATGGTGGGCAGAGTGATTTTGTTCTGCATATCTGAGGCTAAGAGACTGTGCTTCGGGAAAATATCAAAGAACCGTTAACAGTGGCATCATATTGAGTGACTCTTTTCTCGCTTGCTTGATACTGCCCCGCAGAGGCACAATCGTCACTCGAGTTAATGCCCATTCCCAGAGTTGCCACCCCTGTCACGCTCAATCTGTGCCCCGAGAGGCTACATTTGAAACACCCCAGTGACTGGTTCAGGACAGCCCTTCAGCAAAGTATGGAGTATCCAGGATACTCTGTGAGCACCACGGCAGAGGAATAATCCTTATGGATGGCTGACGAGTTGTGTAGAATTGAGGCCAGCAGCCAATCTCAAATAGATTGCACCCTAAGCTGATAATAATGATAGAAGTGAGGCCCACCATTTTTTTTTTATATAAATTAGCTAATAAGAAAAGACAGTGCCTCTGTTCTCACTGAAGCTGGCGGGTAGTAATACTGGAACCACAAGAAATATCCTATCTCTGCAGAGCATGTCTGGAAAAATGAAGCTCCAACTGTACAGAGAGAAAAAAAAAGAGGAAATAGTGCTCTATTAAATTAGACGTGTTCAAAATGGCTGCCTACTTGACCTATGCTGGAAGAGGAAATAACAGGCTGTTCCCTTCACAGCACCCAAGAGAGCAGGCTGACCCTGCAACTGCATAGCCGGAGGAGCTGAACTCCAGGCCCTCTGGGAAGGACACAGCAAACCGCCTCAGGAAAGCGTTCATCTAGCAACCGACCACTGAATCAATAAACATCACTGAGCCATCTATCTCCGCAGCTGCCTTAAAAAGACGACACCATAATTACACAGGAAATCTGCTACAGTCTGTATCTTTCAGAGCAGAAGAGGCGAGGCAACATCTGCCATGATGGCCACTTCCCTAACTTCTTGCTGACATTATGAATTGATATGAGACATTGAATTGTGTCACTGTCATGCCTTTGAGAAAGTGTGTCAGAGCGACCTGCTGTAATTAATCTCATCTGATTGTGAAGGAAGCTAATATCAAACATTCTACAATCTTTACTTCACCTGGTGGCTCCAGAGCAGGGTACTTACCTGAGCAGGGTTTGGGAAAAGTATTTCAGTGTGTTTGCAATGTCTGTTCCGGAGGGCACTGGGTAAATATTGTGTTGCACACGGTTGTGATACTCTTGCAAGTATCGTATCTTAGAGGCAACTGGACAAAATAAAGAGCAGAGCAACAAGCAAATCAACACTAGTGAGATATGATGCACGGCAGCAAAGACATATATCATGTAACTGAACAAGCTGTTAGGTAGCATTTAACATGAATCCTTCAGCTATGAAGTTAAACAAAAAGTCTGTTTTCCCATGGTTCTCTGGCCTTCACCGGGTGACCTTTTTTGTCATAGCAGCAGGTCACAGGAAGCCCTAGAGGAGGCAGTAACCTACTGCTTACAGAAACAAGCTCACACACGAAAGGTTGCCAGTTCAAGTCCCAAGACAAGCTGGGAAAATGTGGTTATAGCGAACACGAAAGGGGGCTTAAGAAGCAACACAGAGGAACATTTCTGTAATGAGCCCAGCTGGCTGCTCTATATTGAAGTAATCTCTGTAGGTTCCGATATGACTGTGCTGTTTGTTGTTAGGAGTTCAAATATGTTGAAGTGGGTGATCGCTGACCCATTTTCTGTGACTTTAGGCAGGAATGTTTAGCTTCCTTCCTGACCTGTAAATGACAAACCCCAAAATAAAAATAACAGCTGCAGGCTTGGAGGATTGTCTGGTCAAAGCATGTGCTGCGATAAATACTGAAGCACAGCATCTTTCCGGTTCATCATAAAATTAAACCTCCTCGGAAAGATAGGACTTTTTAAAAAATATATTTTTCAACCTTTTAATAATATTTCGAGCTGTTAGTCACAACAGCAGATTCAGCGTTTTCTGTTCATTCCCTCACTTACTGTCTACCAAACAACAGGAGCAACACCCAACTTTTAACCAGCTGATGGGGCTGGGAACCCCTAACACTGAGTTTGACCCCGTCTTTTATCTGTTGTTTACGGTAAAAAAATAAAAAAGATTAAAAAAAACAGAAGACAGCGGCTGGTGTCCACCTGTTCACAACCAGCGAAGTGGAATGAACAACAGACGTCAATATAGTGTGATCAGACCCCACGACTGATCAATATGAAGCCACCATATTGTTCAGTAGCCTGTCAGGTCGACCTTGAGACCAACATTACACTTCGCTTTTCCCACGCGCCTCAGCCAGCCACGTCAATCAAAATCAAATCAAATCAAATAAAATAGAAATAAATAACCCGGACCACAGAGCGATTCGGACATGGAATTGTTCCATCAACATGCAGAGAAACAGAGGGTGATTCAGTGGCTCTCTGTGTGCACTGAGACCTCCAGCCATCCTCTGCAGTGAGAGGACGTGTTGCAACCTGCCTTGGCAACCGCGGTTTCATCACCAAGGACAGCTCCCCTTGTTCGCTTTCTTGGTTAAACCAAAAAAAAAAAAAAAAAATCAGTTTCCAGCCCCCTCACAAGACAAAACAGAAACACGCACGCACGGATACACACAGCCGTACTTACACTGCTCTGCCTTCGTAGACATTTCGCAGACACTTGGGGAAACATAAAACCCAGACTGTCAGTTGTTTTGATAGGCTTTTCCCTTCCCGGCGTTGTGTTTCCCTCAGTCGTGAAAAAGTGACTATGCCCCCTTGCAGCCCAGGCTCGTCTTGATTGTACCACTTTGCACGACGGATTTATACGCTGTGGTGTTTTAGCTGTGCTTCCGTCGCTTTTGCGATCTTTGAACGGAAATAAAGGGAGGGCTTGTTTTGTAAATCGTTTTTATATATATTTTTTGAGGTGGTGGTGGGGATTTTGCTCTCTCGTTGCAGAGATGGGTGGTGACATATATGTGACACACCACACCTTTCCAAATGGACTGATCCGGCTTTGACAAATTGTCATTCAAGAATTCCGACAACCCTGTTTGAGCTGATTATAGGAGGGAAATACTAAGCACCTCCGCTTATTTGCCTCAGTGATGCTTTACATGTGTGTATTTGTAATGCATGAAATGCTAAACATGCAACAGATGGTTGTCACACCTTCTTAAACATGTCCTTGAGAAAACATCGTGGGTTTTCTTTCCCCTATTTTATATAAATACAGCATATTGGCCACCGTGGATTGTCCTAATATTTTTATACTGATATTTAGTAATATTAATATTAATCTCCACTATCAGCTGGGCGCTTTAAAGAGTACATTGTTATCCAACAACACTTTCGAGATATAAATATGCATGTGTATGAATACTTAAGCCTGTGTCTAAATGCAGCATTTCTCATTTAAGCGGCACTTCCGCTAGTAGATGCAGGACTGAACGATAAACAGACCCTACGGTCTGAGGTCCTGACAGACCCTTCCCATCATGGTTTCTGCCAAGAATTTTGTCTATACTCCTAACTGATGAAAATGACATCCTCAAAGTGTGTTAAAGCAAAAATGTTGTCTTTTTTTTTATATATCACCCTCAAAAAAGTCAATAATCTCAGAAATAAAATACACAATCATATGTAACTGTTTATATAGGAAAATAGCTCAGTCAGACTTCAGATTTAACAAAGGTTTTACTTTTTTTCACGAGATTTTACACAGTGGAGAGAGGTTCACACAGTGACATTGCTTGGGTGTCTGTCTGCAGAGTTCCTGTAGAAATCAATCATGTTGAGGTATTCTGGCCTTGTCTTCGATATTCTGGGATATGATGCATGATCCAACCAGCCGGGGCCAGGAGAATCACAGCAAACACGCATAAGGCAAAGGTAGACTGCTGTAAGAAAGTCCAATAAAATATAACCATGAGTGTTTTATTCACAGACACTGCAAATGTAATCTACATGAAAGGTTATAATACACATTCAATGCAGTGTGTTTGAGCTCTCAAGTATCTTCTTTCATAAGTTAAGTTGAACAGAAAGGACTAAGCCAATGAACACGACAGAGGGTCCCGGTCTTAGCGACTCACTGCGTGATATAACTTCACCGCCACCACCCACTTATATTTTCCTGCCATAATATTCTCTCTGTACCTCTCCACCATGGTATTCCTAACCTGGGATGAGCTTTGTAAAAGCCCCTATGGATGTCCCTTAGGACAGATCAACAGATTTATAGTGGCATAAACACTTCCTGCTATGCTGCAGTTCCATCATAGGATCCCTTTACAGAGGCCAGAGCATTGCACTGACTTATAAATAACAAATGAATAAAACATCTCTTCCACTCTGCAGACTGGGGAATGCAGTTCGCTTGAATTCTTCGCATTAAGGGCATTTGAACCATCACAGACACTGACTTCCAATGACTGACTATTTTATATTGTTTGCATTTTTATGCCACCATAGTCCCTAAAATGGCATTACTTGTGGTTTAGCATCCATTCAGTACAGGAAAAATATTACTGCAGTTCTTGCTTTTGTTGCAGGACATTATACAGTGTAGATATTCAAGGATGTCTGCCTGTTCAATTACAAGTACAATAAAAGTTAGTCAGTCCTACCACTGGCCCAATCTTTTCCTTGGGTGGCTTGCTGCAGATGGTTGACCTCTGATTTTGCTTAATGTTCTTCAGCAGCAGCAACCTGGTTAGTGTGGGTCTCCTAAAAAGCAAGGACATCTTTCTTGAGACAGCTCACAGTAAATCTCGTTCACAGAAGAAAAATGTGTCTCTGGAAACTTCTCCTCACATCCTGTGAGATACTGACAGATAGCCTGTACTTTTATCTAATTCCCATCACTCTTCCAGGGAGGAGTTACTTCCATGGACCAAAGACACTTGTATAAACATACAGAATGAGTTCTCATCACAGCAAATTCGGTCTTGGTTGTGTGCCTGAAGATTAAAGTGGAGTGAAAGGGGGAAATATTGGTTACAAAACACTGATTTCGAGCCTGAATGAGCACACAAGGTGTCTTTTTTAATGCTGAACAGTCGTTAGTTAAGCACACAAAGTCCTAAATTAAGAACACAGGACACAGAGTGCTGAAGAAGTAATATGCATTTGCTGGATTTTTGATAATCCATGTAACAAATATTGATTACATATTTGTTACAATATTGATACAACAACAGCATTCAATTTAATTCAAGTTTATATATATATAGTACCAGCTCACCACAATAATCACCTGAAAGTGTTCTATACTGTAAGATAAAGTTCCTACAGTATTGGAGAAAACCTCAAACCACCCCCAATGAGCGCGTACTTTGCAACCATGGGAAGGGGAAACCTCCCTGTAAACAGGAAGAAATCACTAGCAGAGCCAGACTCATGGAGGGGAAGCCATCTGCAGAAGCCAACTGAGGGTGAGGGGAAAGAGAAAACATAAAGTCCAGTAATAACCTGAGCCTATAGCAGGATAACTAAGCGAAAGTTTAGGGTTTGTTGATCCAGCCCCAACTATACCTTTTATCAAAAAGCAAAGTGTTGAGTCTAGTCTTAAAAGTAGAGACAGCGTCTGTCTCGTGAATCCAAACTGGGAGCTGGTTCCACAGGAGAGGGGCAGCATAGCTGAAGGCTCTGCCTCCCATTCTCGTTTTTAAAAACTCAAAGAACCACAAGTAAACCTGCAGTCTGAGAGTGACATGCTCTGTTGGGATAATATGATACTATGGGGTCTTAAAGATATGATGTGGCCTGATCACTGTGAGGAAAATAATTTTAGAGTCAATTCTTGATTTAACAGTGGATTAACCAGAGGCTTTTTAGAGAACATTTAGCTATCAATAACTGTATTACTATCACTACACAACTTGTATATTAATTCCATATATAGATAGAAATTTTTGTCATTTCAAAAAAAATATTATGGTATCTGAACCAGAACCACTTAACAAAAATCTTCAAAAGATAGTCTTCACAAGTCAACACAAAGACAGGGCTATCCAGATGTCTGAGTAAATCTCTTGTATTTCTGTTCTGTTCCATTCTATTCTGTCCTTCTATTTAATAGACTGGAGGACAGACTGCCTGAATAAAACCAAAGGCATGTATTGCTTAACTTTGTCATTTAAGGCTTTTCCTTTTTAATTCCTTACTCGGGGTGATTGCAGGGTAATTGTAGATTTATATCAACATGGCAAGTCGATGCAAATAATAAAACAGTGTCCATTGTTTATGATTATTTGAAACCTATAGTGTACATACAAAAAGGTTTTGGCACTCACATTACATGTATTCTGTCGCCCTCAACAGGATGCAGTAAGAACTAGATCTAGCTGGGAAAAAACAGAACCAACTTTATCCCTGAAGTCTTTACTACTAGCATATACCTGTTCACACAATAGTCGACACTGAATAAGAAAAATATTCCAAATCAAACAGTGTTAAGGGATCAATACGTGTATGTATTGCAAAGATGCATTGCTGCCGTTAGCTTTAACATAATAATCAAGGCGAAAATTGCTGGTGCAGCCTGCATCACAGTAACGTCATCTCATAGGTCTGCCTCTAAATGAAAGAGGGAAAGGTTAATAGACAAACCATGCGCTGGGTTGCATTGTCTGGAACATTTTCTATAATATTATACTTAAAATTGCATACCGCTGTTAGTCACAGCTCCCGATTCTCCTGCAGAATTACTGACAATGTCATCAGTTATATAAAACATAAAGGGAAGCTGAGAAGTACTATCTTGACCATATGATTGTGACACGTACGTAGCCCATTTCTGACTACTGCCACCAATTAAACGCTAGAGGGCGCTCGCAAACGGTATATTGCACAATCTGCTGTGAGTACTGACGGGCCTCTTGAACAGTCGGCATACAGCAATGAGAGTGTTAAGTTGACCTAAATTCAAAGAAAGATAGACTTTACTTCCAAAATTAAGACGTTTCAGAGCACGAGCAAAGCGTGCCTTTTAAATTTATTCGACACCTGCAGAATTTGTGCAAAATTTGAATTACAAACGCGGGATGTGAAATGCTTTTTCATTGGGTCGCAAGTTACTGCACGACGAAAATGCAGTAAACTCTCGCGTTTGAAGGTTTTATTTTGAAAAACATGACCGGAAGTTTCCTTCTTATTTTGGCTAACTTGAAACGGGTAGCGTTGGGATAGGCCATAACAACCACCCAACAAGGCGTTGTGCTACTAAGGGGAAATACCGAACCGAACCGAGATTTAAAACGGTCTGGGTTTAGTTTTTAGTCGAGGTAGATGCTTAAAAATCACCGGAAAGTCGATGCAAGTGGAAACTATTGCACATTAGAGACCAAAGGTTGACGTCGAGCCGTGCGTAATGAGCAGAGTTGGGAAAAGAAGGTGTTGAGCTGCATTTTTTTTCTCTCTCCCTCTCCCTGCCTGAGACAAGTTGGATCGGAGTGCTGCCTAAACTACGAGGGGAAACGAAGAAAAAATAATGCCTGCGAAGCTCCTCACTTTCTGGTAAATATCTTTTAACGACCGCTTTTCAACAGTTGCATCTCATCTTGCTCAAAGTAAATTTCCGAGGGCTGAAGTCAAAGCGACACCGCAGAGATAGCTTACCCTAGCCTCTTAGGATATGCTACTAATTACAGGGCTGTGGTGAATATGACTCCTCTTGCTGGGCTGTCGCCATACAATTTGGACATTACTTCCCTTTTTTATTTATCAGCCGCGAAAAACAATCCGCTTTAATTTTATTTTTTTTCTCTGCTCTTAAAGGCACTTTTAACCAAAGCTTCCGCTGAGCAGCGGTAGCCCAGAGAGCAACAATAGCTCCGTGATAACGGCAGGCTAACAAAGCCTTTGCAAATAATTTGATTTATTTTCATACGGGCTGAAGAAGACTGCTCTTATTTGTTTTCGTTTTGCGTGTGGCTGGATTGGTAGAAAAGTTCAGGATAAGTGTGATTTTTGTGTCACTTTGGAGAAAAACCTACATGTTGCTGATTATTGCATCTGTGTGACACAGTAGTTGACAGACTGAGCTTTGGGGACAGTTTAAACCGCAATTGTAGCCGCTATGTAAAGATGAAGACTTATTGCGTGGCTAGGTCTTGTAATAATTTCCACAAGTCATGCAATTATTACCATAATAGATTTAGATACCAATGACTTCTTTGAATTGTGTAGGTATCTGACATTAACCCATCCAATAGAAAATTAGTGTTGCTGTAGCGAGATTTTTTCCTAACAACGTATGTGATGTTTGTTGGCATTAGCATCCATGTAAGTGATGAGGAGCCATATGCAGTCTGCGATAATCCCATGGTAATCTCACTGAAATTGCGGGTAGACTCAGCAGTCAGTCTGTTAACTCCACCTTTTTCTAAAATGCAGCCTGTCTGTCTTTGCAGCTCCTCACTTGAATAAAGGTGCCTTCCCCGTACGTTTTAGTGCTCATGTTTACCATTTCGCTGGGTTAAGTATTTGTGTCAGTGCTTCAGAGCTGTATAATGACATGTAATTATCAGTGTTACAGTGCTCAGAAATCCATGACTGGCATGAAAAGGCAGCGAGCTTGCAAATACTTGCCACTCAGTCAGCCGCACTTTACCCTGAATGCTGTTTACCCAGGCCAGTTGGATGGAGAACCCAACAATGAGCATTGACATCTCACTCAAAATAAGCACCCATTGTTTCCTGAGTTGCCATTCATTCTCTGAAGATCGACGACTGGGTTATGTTTGCGCAGTCATTAAGTGTATGCCTACTTCACATGATGGTTCTGTTCGGTTTTCCATTGCAAGCACACCTACAGGATGACATTCATCTGTCCAGTGTTTGTTGGATAAGTTGCCATCATGTATTCAAATCAAAGGTCTGAAAGAAAACAAATTAACTTTGAGGTAGCTGTGTTTGATATTTGCCATTTTGTTTCATGGCCTCTAGAGCAAAACGTAATCAGCTGACAGCGTACTCAGTGAAATGTCAAATATGCACCATTACGGTTCATATTGTTAGTTGACACAGGCTAATCCTGAGGCTGCTCACCATGAGTCATCATCGTGGGGACTTTGTTTCCTCTCTCCGTTTCTGTCATTTCACTGTGTTGTCTGTTTTCTAGCTTGTTCTGATTTTTCCTTAGGTTCCCATGGCTCTCCTGCCAGAATCTGTAATCAGCTGAATGGCCTGACACAACATTATGCTGATTTACCTGATTGGCAAAAAACATTGTCGGCATAAGCGGTCTGCTCTGCCTCTGAATTTGCGCTCTCCGGTTATCGTTTCAGACAAAATATGACTATTATTTTAAAAGGGCGGACTTTATTTTGTTTTCCACCAACCTTCGGTGGCTGTTCCAGTCGGGTATCTTGCTGCGAGATGTGTGCAGACACATCAGTGCCATGGAGGTCACTCTGTGTTAGAGAGTTCTGGTTTCTGCTCACTGCTGCATTGCTTTTTTTATGACCTTCCAGAGCACCCTTGATTGTATCAAATATCAAAAGAGTCAGACAATCTGTAACTGAAAGCTGTATTTCTGTACAGCTCTGTAAGCAAAAGACGTAATGGGCAACTTACCCCAGAGGTCATTTAACAGGTTTTGTGACAGTAAAACTTCTTTTCATCCCCCAAAGCCGGCATCTTTCGTTTTTCTTGTTGTATGTGAATCAGAAACATAAACTTTGTTTCTTCTGTGATTCCTATTGTGAAATGGATACACACATATGTCAGCATTGGACTAATAAAAATACCTTTTGGAAACATTAAATTGAAGAGCTCTGTGTGTGAGAGCTTTAATGCATGA